TCATCAGATATTTGCTCAGAAGAAGTTTCATTCCAGGTTTGTAGTTGTTTTATTAGCACAGTAATGGTTGAGTTCTTGTTCATTCAGCTCACTTATAACTCTAAGTCAGTTCCCATTTTTCCTAGAGTCATCTTTGCAACCTTAACAACCTATTTTCCAATGATTGATTCCAGCTACAAAGTCATTAAGTTCTTAGGCCTTCAAGAATGCTTATGTTAACTAAGTATATTCCTATCTTAGTTAAAACCATAGACTGTTACCTCTATGTCATAAGTTAAAGTTGAAACAATCCAAACCAAGTTTATCCTTCCAGATCTCCTTTAGTTCTAGCATGCATTCAATTTAGTGATCAAGTAAATGAATGTAGAAAAACTTTCAACCATAAAACAAGGAACAAAACCAGTGCTTTGACAACTACAACATCAGTTGAGGAGAATAACCCCTGGGAACTGTTTAGCTACTCATACAGATTAATGCTACATCTACTACATCGAAAGACATCATAGAAGTATGCATAGTAAACAGAATTCAAGCTAACAGTCAAAAGATGAGGAGAAAGCTTGTGCAGTTTCTGAGTCACTCCTGGGAGTGAAGGGGTTCACTCGTGGAACTGAAGAAGAAACTGGGTTGCTATTCTTCAACTTAGCTTCCTCACTGAGTTGTTGCTGCTTCTTCTTCTTTCTTGTCTTCTACCTGGAGTTTTTCTGAGTGTTTTTGCAACTGAGAAGCTAACCAGAGACTGAGAGATATCCTCCCCATTGAGAGTGCAGTTCCCTCTCTTATAGGGCCTTGCAGCCGGTGTCTTCATCATGAGAACCTCCCCATGCTTGGAGTTGTTTAATCCTCGCAATGTCTTGAGCTTGCAATCCAACTTGGCCGTTCCTTTTCTCTCTTCCAGCAGCAGCCGTTTTGCTCTCATTGATCAGCAGTGGTGGCTGGGATTGCGGCTAGGGACAAGCATGCCTCTAGGAGGAGGCAAGGTCATTAATGACAAGATGCTTCTTGTCTAAGGGCCTTCTTCTTCGTCCAGCTCAGCACCCTTGCCTCAAGAGTCCTTAAATTGCTCCTTTGGCTTCCAATTTTCAGCAATTATTTAGTCCGGTCCTTTCCTAACAATAACATGAAAATGAGCTAAGTAAATTGCACCAATGTTAGGAAATACCCCCAATTGTTCATCAAATACAAAGTTAAGTGTGATGCTTTTATGTAACAATTTAACCATTATCAGTTACTATACAAGAGAATTTTATTTTGTGTTATGAATATAGTTGAGCAACTGCGGTGTTTAATTCCGGGTTCCGACACTGCAACCAATAAACGAAAATCATCGAAATACGTGTCCCTAGCTAGTGTTTTTCTCTCTTTGTGTCATTTTTTTCTTCATAAATTTTTGTAAACTATTGGAAGATACATGCACTTTTTTCCCGGTAAATATTGTAAAGAAAATTTGGTTACTTCCAAGTATACGAATTATTTGAACAATAATTGAGTCTGAAGATTCATTGGTTCCATCAAAAGACATGAAACATTTTTATGGTCCACAAGCATTTGAGAGTCAGAAAGGAATTATTAAAGCTATATAACGCATGAACTGGCGCAATTTTGCTTAACAGATGGCGGCGAAGATAAAAGGAACGCATTTCTAGTGTCATTTCTTTTTTTTTTAGTGTTGTCAGGCTCGGACCGGAGCTCGACTCGGCATAGCCAAGGGGTCGATCGAATCGAGGGTCGATTCGGGGCGATTCAGAGGTCGATTCGGATGATCATAATAACGTAATAAATATTAATTAATTAATAATAATATTTTAATTAGAATTTTATAAATTTTATTTATATTTTTCAATTGTTGGAGTCAAATTAATACTTCATAATTCACAAATCGGTCGCTATATAATCAAATTGAACTCATGAGGTCGCATATGATGATGTCATTATTACTAACTATATAGTATTTAGTTTTTTAATATATATTTAAAATTAAAAAGATTTAAACTTTATATCTTTCTTTGATTATATTAGTTGATATTGATATTTTTTAAGTAGTTATTTGTTACTCAAGTGAAGTAAATTAGTATACTAATAAAGTAATTAAGATAAATATATTATCATTTAGAAAAAAATGTTAAATTTGAAAGACAACTAATATACACATTAAGGAAAAGTACTCCAAGATTATTTGTTTTTGTGACATATTCGAGTAATAATATAAATTTTTCATAAAATGAGGGAAGTGAATTTCGGTAGCAAAATTAAAAAAATTATTCAAAATATTATATTTTGAAAATTGAAATTGAATATGAGGACTAAATATTAAATTAAAACTTTAAAAAGTACAAAAAATTGAAAGTTGTTGGTCAATTTTGAACAAAAGAGAAAAAGTTGGCCTGGAAAACATTGGAAGTTGAAATCCAAGGAAAAATGTGCAATGTTTGGGTCAAAAGGTCAAAAAAACTAAAACCCCGGTTCGACCCGGTTTTAATCGATTCATGGTTCGACCGGAGTTTTGACCCATTTTGACCGATTTGTTTTTGCGATTTTTAGCCTTGCTCGGTTCGGTTTAGGAGCCGAGCATGACAACACTGCTTTATTGCATTGTGTGTAATTGTAATATTCTTCCATTTCGAGGTAATAAAAAAAGAAAAACTGTAAATATTCTTTATTTGGAGCAATAACTTCGCCGCCATCTATTATATATAATAATATATAGGTATATAATTAATCCATCTCACCCTAAGTAAAACTTTTGTTACAATCCTTCGCGGAGATTAAATCTTATTATACTATCAGATAATACAACATCTTAATCACTAGGTTATTATTTATTTTCATTAACAATATTTATTGCATTAGAAATATAATACAATTATCATAGGGCGTCCAATCTTTTTAGTCCCTAAAGTATTTTCCGGTTTAATTTTCGTCCCTAATGTATTTCACGTGATAAAATTAGTCCTGATAGTCTTTAAGTTTGTTCATAGTAAATGTGATAGAGAATAGGGTAAATAATGTGATAAATTTAACATTTTGGTATAGTAAGATTTGATTGGAAAAAATAAAAGTAAATTGAGTAAAATTGAAAAAGTGATGTGCTAAAGTTAAAATTGGGTTTAACTGAAATTTTTTTAAGAAAATTTGGGGTATAGTTGATAGAATTACAAAATTTTGGGAAAAAATTATAATTTAAAAATCATATTTCGTAGGAGTAATGACCAAATCCGACGAATAGGACCAATTTTGAAGAAACAAAAATTATCATGACTAATTTTTTTTTGTGAGAACCCGGTTCGGCGTCCCTCAACCGTTACTATAACTTTCGTTTATTTTAAACTCATAGTGGTTCTATTAATAGGAAACTATATATGGCGGGTGTCTTAACGAATTAAAAGTGGATTGAATAAATTAAATAAATATTGCGCTAAAACAATTTCATAAAATTCAAGTGGAGATTAATGTCCAATGAATTATGCTTATTATATCAAATTTAGCAGTGATTTGTGTGATTTTGGGAAATAATACAATCAAGAATTATCCACAAATAATTTTGTGGCTAATATGTTATTCGAATTAGTCACAACTTGCTACGAAGGTAATCTCTTTAATATGCTTTGCAAATTACGCACAAATAATGTCGTAGCCAATATCTTCCACATTAGTTGTGGTTAACTTACACTAGATTTTATTATATTTATCCCTGACATAGTCACGGCTAAGGATTTTTCATTGCGGTACCTTATAGTTCTTAATAACCACGGATGTAGCCATGATCAAACAGTAAAAATGTTTGCCACGAAATTTGTTCTTACTTAAATAGCCACGGAATTAGAAATGACATTTCGTGGATGAGTTAAAGTTTTGACACATTCTATAAATAATATTATCCACGAAGTTACACGAAATGTTTGTGGCTAATATAACCACGGACCGTTGACTTTTGTGGATAACAATTTACCCACCAGAGAATTAGTCCCGTTTTGCAAGTTGTGGCTAAAATCGTGATTAAACCGGTTATCCACAGATTCCAAAGTAAATTTACCCACGATTTGTCTTGTGTGTAATTAGTGATTTTTTCTATTGTATGAAGTTGGAGTTTTTTCAAGAGAATATTTTTTTTTTAGGAAATCAGACTATTTTTCCGAGATAAAGAAAATACATTTCTATACTACTAGAAAATTACATATTTATAGTTGAAGCGCTGTTCGCAAATAGGCAATACTTGTTCTTCCAAACCTGCGCATGCCTTTCAACTCTTAGAGTGAGGGAATGGTGTCTTGGTCCGATGGTAAGACTTTTAGTGGATCACTTAGATCTCTAGTGATTCATTTCCATCTAAATTATGTAAATAGAGTTTTCCGACATTTAAATAGGGTTTATTGATATGAATTTTTTTTAAAAAAAATAAAAAAATAAAAAAACTCATAAGAGTGATTATAATGTATCATGCACTGTGTAAGTACGTTGAATTCAAGGGCCAACTTGGCTAGCCAACTTGGCTAAGGGGCCCTTGTAACAAATTATAGATGGGGTTTGAGAGGTCCTCCTTCAACTGCTCACTATTTCCATTCACGTCATATTTCTAGTCCCCCTCCCATAAAGATCAATGTACTATATCAACCATCGGAAATTACTGAGGACGATTAGACTTTTGAGTGCTTACAAGAAAATGATGCTATGATAGAGATCGGGAAACAGTACATTTTACGTTTAAAAATCAGTACAATAGTTGATAGATCTTTTTTATGCATTGATTAATTTTTCAAAACACATTAACTGACGACCAAGCCGAGAGACAAAGTAGCCGTCATAAGTTTATATAACAATCCAAACAGGGCGAAGAACATATGGAGACTATCTCCATAAAATGCCAAAGACGATGATAATATATATCTATAGACTATAAGCTGGTTAAAGAGACAACTCTGTGCCTGACTTTCAGAGCAAGGAAAGTTTTGTAGCTTTTGATAGTCATGGAAATGTCGATTTTTCGATTGATCAATGAAGAAATGACCTTCTCTATTCTTCTTTCAACAATCTTTATTTTTAGTTTCTTCTTTCTTGTAAGATGGCTTGAACCTAGCACGAAAAACCTCCCACCTTCACCACCAAAACTACCCCTAATCGGAAACCTTCATCAACTTGGTCACCTTCCTTATCGATCACTTAAAACATTAGCTGAAAAGTATGGTCCAATAATGCTCCTGCACTTAGGCAGCAAACCCACGCTCATCATTTCGTCTCCTGAAATGGCGGAATCCGTACTCAAAACACATGATCTCAATTTTTCAAGCCGGCCCGAACCGAATTTTGTTCGAAAAATCACGTATAACTATCAGGACATCCTTTTCGCGCCGTATGGAGAATATTGGAGGCAAGCGAGAAGCATATGTGTTCATCAACTTCTAAGCAACAAGCGAGTCCAATCATTCAGAAGCATACGTGAAGAAGAGGTCGCGTCGGTGCTGGAAAATATAACAGAATCTTGCTCGTCGCGTTCTCCGGTAAACGTGACCGACATATTGACTATGCTCACTTACAACATAATGTCTCGGGTAGCCATCGGCCGGAGACTCTCCGGGAATAAAGTTGGGAATAAGTTTAAGAAATTATCCGACGAATTTTTAGAGATTATCGGATGTTTTGATGTTTCCGATTACATCCCGTGGCTTTGGTGGATTAATAAGCTTAATGGTTTGGAGGGAAAAGTGGATAGGGTTGCAAAAGAGTTCGATGAATATATCGAAACTATTATTGAACAAGCAGAGAAGAAAAGGGAGGAAAACTTTATCAATGATGATCATCAACAAAGGATGCATAATTTCATTGATGTTTTGCTGGACTTCCAGGAGAAAAATGATACTGGATTTGTTCTTCAACGTGATGCAATCAAAGCAATCATTATTGTAAGTATCAATTTCACAATAATTTTTTAACACTTCTTTTGAGGATGAAGTACTAGTTTTTGGTATTTAACTTTTCAAGAAAATTGGTTTATTTGTAGGATATGTTTATTGCTGGAACTGATACTATATCGACACTTGTAGAGTCAGCAATACTTGAACTTCTAAAAAGCAAAAGTGCCATGACTAGATTGAAAAATGAGGTAAGAGGATTGCGAGATTCAAAATCGAATCGCATAACAGAAGATGATTTAGAAAATCTCCCTTATTTGGCCGCAGTTATTAAAGAGACTTGTCGTCTGCATCCTCCAGCTCCAATGCTACCACCTAGGAAATCAAAAGACTCTATTAACATCATGGGGTATGACATTCCTGCTGGCACCCAGGTGTTCATCAACGTTTTCGCCATTGGTATGGACTCTTCAGTTTGGGAAAATGTCGATAAATTTCAGCCAGAGAGGTTCTTGGACAGCTCTATTGACCTTAAAGGGAAACATTTTGAACTGATCCCGTTTGGTTCTGGAAGGAGAAGTTGTCCCGGAACAGTATTTGGCTTAATCACAACACAACTTACACTAGCAAACTTAATCCTCGATTTCAATTTTGCAATTCCGAGTGGCGCAAGATTGGTGGATGTTGAAATGAGTGAAGTTCGCAGTTTAACTATTAGAAGGAAGATGGCTTTGATTCTGGAGGCGAGTCTAGCTAATTAGTTATGGATCTTCAAGTTAATAGTCAATATCATAGTCTAAACAGAACGAATTCTGTAATCACGATTTCAAAATTTGTACATATATACTGTATGTCTTCTAAGTAATTGTAACCATAATATTTCTTATTAGATGTCTTTGGCTTAATTGTAAACCTCCATTGTAATGTGTTTAACAAGATGTTCTTAACTTTATGACACTGAGAAGCAGAAGAACACAACAATTTATTAATGCTAAAAAATCTGCCTCATAGTACGTAACGTGAACATGATGGATTCTTCCGGATGATTAGTCAATTTTTTTGAGCTGTTGATGATGAAGACCCCATCCCCAAATGTCTTTTTGAGCTGTTGATGATGAAGACCCCATCCCCAAATGTCTTTCGCCATCAGATGAATATCAGTATCTTTTGTTTTACTTCACCACTTAACAATGGCTTCAAAGAAATAAATACATAGTTCACCAATCATTGTTATCTACTACACACATTTGCTCCATGTAAAAAAGAAAAAAAAAATTTAAAATTGTTCACAATGCGAAACAATATATTAGGTTTGATTTAACAACACCAACAAAATTATGAGGTTTACCTTGATCAAATAGATTTTCCTCATTTCAGAACAACATGATCTTACCCATTCAAACTGTTTAACTTTTATATTAATTCTTGTTTGTCAAGAGGGATTAAATAGAGTTGATAGGTCATTTGTGGTATGATCATTTGCCATGTTTGAGCTAGTTTATACATTGTCCTATTTATGTACCTTTCATAATATTATGCATCACGATATATCCGCAGAGTCCGTCATGATATATTTTTCTTAATTAAAAAAAAAGGAAAAGAAAATGAAGAACAACAGTATGGGAATGTAAATGCAAAGGAACTCTAAATCAATCCATTGGTATCTGGCGTGCTACAATTTACGCTAGCATCAGCGAATAAACCTAGTAGAATTTTTGTGGAAGTAGGTTTTAGAAGAAGAAAACATTGTGTCTATTACGATGCAGGCTTTAGCCTTATATACAACGAATTAGGGTTTCCCAGAACTTTCGGGAATACAAAGTACAATGACACATTTAACCCTAATTACATATATTCTAACACCCCCCTCAAGTTGTAGCATGCAAGTTCCGAATGCCCAACTTGGACAAAAGAAAACTAAAGGATCGTTGACCCAATGCTTTAGTAAAGATGTCTGCCAATTGGTTTTGAGAAGACACGTAACTAGGAGCAATAACACCTTGAACAAAAGCATCGGGAAGAAAGTGACAATCCACCTCAATATGTTTAGTACGCTCATGGAAAACAGGATTAGCCACAAGATGTAAGGCAGATTGACTATCAGAATAAAGACGCATAGGACAAGAATGTCCCACACCAAGACTATGCAAAAGAGCTTTTAACCACTTCAACTCACAAACAGTATTTGCCATGGCACGGTACTCAGCTTCAATGGAAGAACGAGACACAATAGGTTGTTTCTTAGTGCGCCAAGAGATGGGTGAATGACCAAGTGTAATGAACCAGCCAGTCAGAGAACGCCGAGAGAGGGGACAACTAGCCCAACCGGAATCACACCAACTATACAGCTGAAGGTCACTATCAGCACGAAGTAAAATGCCTTGACCAGGGTTGGACTTCAAATAACGAACTACGCGAAGAGCCGCTTCCCAATGAGCTTGGCGAGGACTCTCATAAACTGAGCCAACATATGCACACTATAAGAAAGATCAGGACGAGTAACAGCCAAGTAAATTAATCGTCCAATTAAACGCCGGTAACGTTCTGGATCAGAGAAGAGAGGTCCTTCATCAAGCGGAAGATGGTGATTTTGTTCCATCGGAAACGCAGCAGGTTTAGCACCCAACAAGCCAACCTCGGAAAGAATGTCCAACGCATATTTCCGTTGACAAAGAAAAATACCAGAAGGACTGCGAGCCACCTCAAGACCAAAGAAATACTTCAGGACTCCAAGATCCTTCATATGAAAACAACTGCGTAAATAGGTTTTAAAAACTAAAATAGCAGCATGATCATTTCCGCCAATAACAAGATCATCAACATACACTAGAATACACAAACGGACTGAGCCTCAATGATAAGTAAACAGGGAATAGTCGGCAGAGGACTGAACAAAACCATACAACTTCAAGGCTCGAGCCAATTTGGCAAACCAACAACGAGGGGCTTGCTTAAGGCCATATAAAGACCGACGAAGACGACAGACTTGACCCGGAGCATTAGAGGAAAAACCAGGAGGAAGCTTCACATATACCTCTTCAATGAGATCACCATGGAGGAAAGCATTATGCATATCCATTTGATGCAATTCCCAATTTTTGGCTGCAACAACGGCCAAAAACATACGCACCGTGACCATTTTAGCAACTGGTGCAAATGACTCATGATAATTGATGCCTTCCACCTGATTGTTGCTAAGAATCACTAAATGGGCTTTGTTTCGCTCAATCGTACCATCCGCACGATACTTGATTTTGTAGATCCACTTACAACCAATGGCCCGTTTACTGGAGGAAGAGCGTAAGCTCCCAAGTATGATTATTTTCCAAGGCACGAATTTCATTAGACATAGCAGAACGCCACTTGGCATCCTGCATAGCTTCACAAAATGTAGTAGGCTTAATTCCTGCGGTAACAGCTGCCAAGAAAGCTCTATGACGGGGTGAGAAAGAATTACAGTTTACAAAATGTGTTATGGAATAGAGACTACCTGAGGACGAGGATGGAGTGGGGGTGACAGAAGGGGGGGACAGGACTCACAGTATGGCGAGCAAAGTCACGGAGCCGAGTAGAAGGAAACTTAGTACGAAACCTGCGGCCCAAAGGTTCAGGAGGTGCAGAGGAAACAGACTTGTGTATAGCAGGTGACACAGGAGGAGATTCGGGCAATGTATCATTAAGAGGTACAACCGAAGAAGATTCAGCAACCTCAGGTGTGACATTAGAGGCAACATGAGGATCAACCGAAACAATACTGACATCATCATCATCATCATCAAGAAATGTAGTAGGGCCCGTTTGAAGAAAACCACGAGAAGACTCCTCAGAAGAAACAAGCGTAGCAAAGGGAAATTCATGCTCAACAAAAACAACATCACGAGAAGCCTGAAATTTTCTAAGTTCAAGATCATAAACTAGCCACCCTTTCTGGCCAACCGGATAACCAACAAACACACATTTACAACTACGAGATGCAAACTTATCACCCCCCTGGCTTGGTTATGAACATATCATAAACACCCAAAGACACGCAAATGTTGTAGAGAAGGTGTTTTACCATACACAAGTTCAAAAGGAGATTTGCCATGCAATACAGACGAAGGAGTTCGGTTAATTAAATGACCAGCAGTCAATACACAATTGCCCCAAAACTCAATAGGAAGATTGGCTTGAAACATGAGAGCCCGAGCAACATTAAGAATGTGACGATGTTTGCATTCAACACGTCCGTTTTGTTGGGGAATGCCAATACAAGAGGTTTCATGCACAATTCCATGTTGACGAAAATAAGAACCCATACACATAAATTCAGACCCATTATCAATTCGGACAACTTTTATTGTTTTACCAAATTGTTGATGCACCATAGCGAAAAATTCACATAACCGAACAGATACATTCCTCTTATCCTCAAGCAGATAAATCCAAGTGCTACGAGAAAAATCATCCAAGATAGTCAAAAAATATTTGGCACCATAAAAAGCAGGAACACGGTACGGCCCCCATAAATCACGCTTATCAAAGAAAATAACTCAAGATCGGTACTATTGCTAAGAAAAACTAGCTCTTGATTGTTTTGCGCGGAAACACACATCGCACGATTTATTCAAAACAAAACTACTCTTAGAATCAACAAGAGACAATCTGTGAAGAACCTTCGGAGAAGGATGCCCTAACACGGTGCCACAATTGAGAGGAATCAGCAACCGAGCACGAACAACACTTGCAACAGCTGGCCCTCGAAGAAATAGAGTCCCCCAACTGTTCACCCGCTCCAATCGCGTCCTCATTGTGCGGTCCTGAATAACACAAAACTTGTTAGTAAACTGAGCTACACAACTCAAATCCTCCAACAAATGATAGAGAGAAATTAAACTGCATTATAAATTAGGAACATAGAGAATGTTGTCCAACACCACGAGGCACTCAAATGAGCCCGACCAGCTTTAGAGGCATACGTCACAGTACCATCAGGCAAGTGAACCGGACGAGCCGAAATATCCCGCAAGTCCACCAAAAAATGTACAAACCCCGTCATATGATGGGAAGCA